TATAAAAGTTCCAGTTGCTCTACATCATTACTGACACTTAGTATTGTCAATCTTTTTCATTTTAGCCATTTTCGTGGGTATGTAGTATTATCACAGTGTGGTTTTACTTTACATCTCCCTTATTATTAATGAGATTATCTTTGTATACATTAATTGGACATTTGGATATTCTGTTTGTGAATTTCTGTTAAAATCTATTCTTGTTTTTCTATTTAGAGATGTCTTTTTAAAAAAGATTTTTTTACTTTAAAAACCATAATTCTAGGAGCCTGTCCTTTTAAAATTATATATGGACAAATTTCTTCTCATATCCTGTGTCTTGCCTTTTCATTCTTTTGGCAATGTCTTTTAAAGCAAAAATTCTTAGCCAGGCATGCTGGTATGTGCCTATAATCCCTGATACTCAGGAGATTCATGGGGGAGGCTGAAGCAGGAGGATCCCTTGAGCCCAGGAATGAGACCAGCCTGGGCATAATAGTGATATCCAGTCTTAAAATAAATAGAAGCTTATCATAATTTTAATGTAATCCAATTTATTAATCTTTTCCTTTATGTTAAGTGATTTTTGTTTCAAAAAGAATCTTGACTTACACCTAAGGTCATGAAAAGATTCTCCGTTACATTCTAGAAGCTTTATTATTTTACCTTTCACCTTTAGATTTGTAATCCATCTTGAACTAATGTGAGGTAAGAGTCAAATTTTTCCCCATGAGTATCTAATTAATTCAATCCAATTTATTTTTTCTTTAAAAAAGCCTTTTTCCTATTGTCCTAGAATACTATTTTTGTCATAAATCAAGTATACCTTATATGTAGGTCTGTTTATGGATTCTCTGTTCTATTCAGTTGGTCTATTTGTCTATTCTTGTACCAATTCAGCAGTGTATTAATTACAGGAGCTTTATAATATATCTTAATAACTGGGAGAATAAGTACTCTTTCCATAATATATCCTTCTGTTTATTTTGGTCTTCTTTAATTTCTTTTAATTATTTTTATGGGTTTTTTTGTTAGCATTCTTACACATTTTTGTTAATATTTTCATATCATATCAAAACATATAAGAAGTCTCAATTAAGAGCCAAGCAGGGGTGTGTGTGTGTGTGTGTGTGTGTGTGTGTGTTAGGTTGACTAGATAGTTCTAAAATGTATAAGGGAGTGTACAGGGTCAAGAATAACCAAATACCCTTGTAAAAAGGTAGAACTTACTTTTAAGTGTATTATTTCAGTTTTTAAAAAATTAATATTTTCAAATATTTTGCCACTGTTTTAAATTTTCAAGAAGTGCTCAATATCTTAAATGTGAATCTCATATAAAATTGGCATTCAACTAAGCTAAGATGCAAATACATTGCAAAAAATGAACAGGATGACATGTCTATGTAGAAATAAAAACTAGACTAAAACAAAAAGAATGTTCATCATCACTGGTCATCAGAGAAATGCAAATCAAAACTACATTGAGATACCATCTCACGCCAGTTAGAATGGTGATCATTAAAAAATCTGGAGACAACAGATGCTGGAGAGGATGTGGAGAAATAGGAACACTTTTACACTGTTGGTGGGAGTGTAAATTAGTTCAACCATTGTGGAAGACAGTGTGGCGATTCCTCAAGGACCTAGAAATAGAAATTCCATTTGACCCAGCAATCCCATTACTGGGTATATATCCAAAGGATTACAAATCATTCTACTATAAGGACACGTGCACACGAATGTTCATTGCAGCACTGTTTACAATAGCAAAGACCTGGAACCAACCCAAATGCCCATCGACGATAGACTGGATAGGGAAAATGTGGCACATATACACCATGGAATACTATGCAGCCATCAAAAACGATGAGTTTGGGTCCTTTGTAGGGACATGGATGAACCTGGAAACCATCATTCTCAGCAAACTGACAGAAGAGCAGAAGATCAAACACCGCATGTTCTCACTCATAGGCGGGTGTTGAACAATGAGAACACATGGACACAGGGAGGGGAGCACTACACACTGGGGTCAGTTGGGGGGAAATAGGGGAGGGATGGTGGGGGGTGGGAAGCTGGGGAGAGATAGCAAGGGGAGAAATGCCAGATGTAGGTGATGGGGAGGAAGGCAGCAAATCACACTGCTACGTGTGTTCCTATGCAACAATTTTGCATGTTCTTCACATGTACCCCAAAACCTAAAATGCAATAAAATAAATGGGAAAAAAAATTAAACTTCAATTTCTCAAACGTTGTTGAAATCATCTCACACAATTTCTCATGCGATGAACTTTAAAAGTAGGTAACAGAAACAAACTTTTGGTGATCTGATAATTGGTCATATAGGCATCTAAGGCCTGGGAGAGGTGGGAGCTAAAATTTTGGTTTTGAAAACAATATATATGTTAGACGTTAATGTCCTATGAGTGGAACCATGTCAAGAGAAAAGAGTAGTACGTCAACAGAAATATGAAGAAGAGCAACATTTAGGTGAGCTGAAAAAGAATCCATTTGGGAGACAAGAAAACAATCAGAAAGGCAGAAAAAAAAATCAGGAGAAATAGTGCCAAGGAAACAGAGACTTAGGATGTTGTGAGTAGTTAAGTGTCAAATACAAGCAGAAGTCAAGTGAAATGATGATTTGAGGTGTCCATGAGATACAGTAGTAAAGATGTTGAAGTTAACCATCTCAAAAAAGATTTCAGTGGCATAACTGGATAAGGAAGACAGAAATAGCAGGTTTCAGAGTGAACAGAAGGTAATAGCATGGAAACAGACTCTGGTTTGACTAAGAACACAGTGTGTGTAGCAGTTAATGAGCATGTTACAGTTTGCAGGGGAAGAGCCAGTCAAGAGTAAAGAGGTGGAAGAGACAAGGAATAACTGATAGAGAAAATGGTAGGGTGTAGGTTGAAAACAAAGATAGAAGAATATTGACCTTAATCAAGACCATTCATTTTCTGAGACTGGAAAAATGTGGTTAGAATGTACACAGATATAATTTTGTTGGTGAGGGACGAGATAACGTTTCAGGTAGGATAGAACTTTCCAGCCTTTCTCACAACATGGCATTCATAGACAATGATCATATTTGGGATAAATGGATGAGGCTATTTACAGGTAAAGGTCATGACTTTACAGGTTTTTAGTGCTGGGTTTGGATACATAAAAGTGCAAGTCACAAAAGATATCTGAATGACAGTGCCTTAATCAATAAAGACATTTAAATATCTTAATTAGAAATTGGGAGTTAGGCAATTCCCAGGTTTGTACATTTAGGTCCAAAATGTTATCAAAACCCAGGTTTGAATGTCTGTACTTCCCCCGAATTCTTATTTTAAAATCTAACCCCAAGGTGGTGGTATCAGCAGGTGGGACCTTTGGGAGGTGATTAGATAATGAGAGCAGAGTCCTCATGAATGGGATTAGTGCCCTTAGAAATGAGGCCTGATATGAGGGCATAGCTAGAAGGTACCGTCTATGAAACAGAAAACCAGCCCTCACCAGTCACTGAATCTGCCAGTGCCTTGATCTTGGATTTCCCACTCTCCATAACCGTGAGAAATAAATTTCGACTGTTTATAAGCTACTCAGTTCAAGCTGTTTTGTTATAGCAGCCCTAAAAGCCTAAGACAACAGGGTCTTTCTCTTTTTTTTTTTTCTAAAAACTTGTTTTTAGAAGTCCCTTCTATGATTTAAGCACTGTATTTGAAGACTCATAATTCATGAATTTTCTGTTCTCATTGCTTGCCTTAAATACCATCATCATCTTTATCACTAGTAAATTTACAGAGTAAGTTTAATGAATGCAGTCCTTAGCTGTTCTGAATTTTTGAAGTTATTTTTCTTTGTTTTATTTTGACACTCTTCTCCTTAAAGTACTGAGTAGCATTTTTGGAGGGGACAGTGGATCACATATTTGCTGGGAAACCACTGATAGCAGCTTACTAAATTCTTACTGATATGTTGATGTCCTTCCATTCTGCATGTAAGTATAACCAAAGTCTAGGGGGAAGAAAATTAAAACAAAAATCCTACTTTGAGAAAAACATGTTTGAGGACAAATCCTATCTCTCAGAAAATGTTTCATTTAATTACATCAAGAGAAGATGTAAAACATCTGATGAATTGGGGGGAAAAGATGTAAAACATATATTTATTAAAGTATACTAGGTTTAAAATTGCTCTCTAGATTGTAGTGTAATATTTAGAACCATCTCCCATTGCTTATTATATTGTGTGCTGGGAGGTCTTGAAAAGAGGTGTTTTTTATTAGATTATGTAGATTAATGACTTTATGTTAAACACTATATTGTATTTATCTGTGGTTAGTAGCTTAAAAAGAAATTTTACTTTTCAACTCTTTTTATTATATAGGCAGTCTGTGTTAATGCTGTGCTGGAGAAGGTAAAGAATATCTTCCAAGAAGAAGAATCCATAAGGCAAAGCAGAGAAGAGAGTGAAAATTGTAGAAAAGCCTTTTCTGAGCCTGTGCTTTCGGAGCCTATGTTTCCTGAAGGTGAAATCAAAGCAAAACCTTATAGGTCATTGCCGGAGAGGCCAGACATTTCATGTTACCCCAAGCTTCCTGCTAATAAGCAGAGTAACAAGATCCAAGTTTTACATTCTGTGTTTGACCAATCAGCTGAAATGGATGAGCAAATCTGAATGCAGATATCACTGAACAGAACTTAAAAGTTACCTATTTTAATGGCACATTTCATCTGACAAAACTCAGAGACTAGTTTAAATATTCTGAATTGCTCTGCTTTCTTTTAAAAAAGAGAAGGGGACTACAATTAAAATGTCATTTTCTAGTATTTACATGATAGAGTAAATAAAATGAATATTGATGTGGAATATATGTACTGACTACTTTCAATGAACAAGAAAATCCACCCTTTGGTGGGTTACACTTTACACTGTGGTTTATAATATGAACATATATATATAAAATACATTAATGTTTTTAGTAAAGACGAGTGTCTAATTCTTTACTTGGGAGAAAAAAAGCACTATCAAAATAAAAGAATATTATTTTTTATATACAGCCTGCAGAGTTTGAGTCTGCCTATTATTTTATAAATCATGGAAGGATTTGCAATTCATAGATGCCATAAATTTATAAAACAAAGTATTATTTACAAATGTGATGAGAAGATTTCTGTATATGAAGACAGGACATGATATGATTTTTTTTATTTCTAGATTTAGAGATACAAATTTAGAATGAAAATTCAAGTGCACATTACTCACTATTGCCAGTGGCTTTTGTGAGAAGATATTTCTGTAATTATTCCTGCAAACCAGGGCTACAGTTTTTGGCTGCAGAAAGTACTTTGATTTCTTCTATACACTTTCCATTCTGGACACGTGTTAAGACCTGAGTGAGCATTGAAGGATTATCACATGATCGAATCCTTCTGGGATGAAGGATTAGAAACCTTCCTGAGAGATAGGACATTTTCTGTACTTAGTGAGTAGCTGCTACCATAAACAGTATCTATACAAAGCCCAAGTCTGGCTCATTGGTTGTCTGAGAAATGAGGACCAAGTGCTACTTATGCTACCCATACTCCAACAGAAAAGGAAGTGTGATAATATGTAGCAAAGGTCCCTGTAAGCAGAGTCTTTACCATACAGACCTTATTCATTTACTACTTTTATAATAACCAAGGGAAAGAGTCCAGGTGGGCTCCTTAGAATGTTAAGTATTACGTTTAGATTCTTATTTTAATTCCATTCCACTAAAAATATTACTGTTCTTTGAGACTAGGTTCCAATCTTGACAAACAGTTCTTTTCACTCTGAATTCATCGTCTACTCATTTTAGCTATTTCTTGTCCCAAATAATGGTGATTTTTGCATGAACACCGACCATGCAAAAATTACCACTATGTGCTGCTGATTTTTATGGTGGATGCTCGGGGCATTATTTTAAATACATAACAACCAGTATAATAGCACCAGGCAACAGAACAGTACTTACCACAGATAACTGACATGAGAAAACCAGGGTGAACCAACTGAACATCAGCCTTGCCTGGGAACTCCAAGGAATAGAACCCTAGATTTCCTCTCTAAAACATTTATAGGAAACACTTAGTTGTGCATATATTCACAAAGTTCTAAAAAAAAATTGAAAACCTTTATTTGAAAATTTCATATAGGCATTCAAAGTACACTGGCTCATTGAATAGGAGACTTTACATTTCCAATGGCTCAGCAGCAGCTGTGTGTGGCTTCCTTATTTCAAGATCTGCCTTGATCATAGAGAAACTAACCCAAGGTTTATTTGGTTTTAATGTCTAGCACAGTGGTTAAGTTTCTTATTTTCAAGTTTGGCAGGTAAACTTAGCTCATTTGTGGAGGCATTTTTTAAGTATAAAGAGTCTGCTATATTATTTGGGAGAATTGTACAGTCCAGATTTGAACATTTCAATGTATTTAAAATTTACCCAAAAATATAAAAATAACAATCAAATAGGAGAGGTAGGGAATCCACAGAGGTATAAATAAAAAAAGAATAGAAGAATGCTAATAACTGTTAGAGCTGAGTGATGGAAGTTCATTATATATTCTGTTTACTTTGTATATATTAAAACTTTTCCAGAAGAAAGTCTACTATGTCAAACAGGGATTTTTTCCTATTTTAAAAATTAAATTTTTTAAATTAAAAATTTTTTTCTGACTAAACATTAATTTTTACATATTATTTATTTTGTTTACTACAAATTTATTTTCATCCTTCTTAAACAGAACATCCCAAACCTATAACCTTCAGCTTCTAATTAATCCAGAGGATTAGACAAAATGTATTCTATTGATCCTGATGATAATCCTTACATCATACTAAGTATGTATGCTCTTTAACCTCTCAAATTTACATAATTTTTAAATTGTTCTGCCTACAGTGAAAAATATCATCACCTTTAAAACTAAAGCAGAGTTATTCTAAAAATGTTTTTAAGCATACACAATATTTTTCATTGCTACATATTTTTTGTTCAGGAAGAACTCTTAATTACTTTGAAGTCTCCAGTGGCATAAAAATCAGAGTCACACTTAAAAGGTTCATTAGAAAGAGTCACATAAATATTCCCATTGTCTACTGTCACTGTATGAATCCTTTGCTTTATTCCTTTGGAGCACCACTTGGGTTTTGCTGATGGATCTTTAGGGTTTATAGACTGGTACAGACTTTCTCCTGTTGCCAAAGTAATTTTGTATTTATGCCAGGGGCAAACTATACATGGTCGTCCATCAAAATCCTGGGGAAGAAAATAACTCATTAAAATTCTGACATGTCAAACATTCTTGATACACCATAGACTCTGAACAGAATCTGCTGCAAAAGAACCAGGTTAAAAAACAGGTTAGCTTCTCTTTCTTCCTCCTATTTACAAATTATTCAGCATAAAGCAGACCCTAATCTGAGAAGAGTCATCAAGCTCTTTTACAGTTGATTAGAAAGGCAGTTAGAGCTCTATCAGAAGACTGACATGCTCAGGCAACTATACCATGTGACTGCAGCTGTGCTGTTATCTATTAGGTGTTTATGTGCCTCCTTGACAGAAATGGGGCAAGGACGTCAAGTGCTTCTATAGGAATTTTCATTAGCTGCTAGAAGAATTGTAAGGTCTAGATATAAATTCTAAAGGAGTTACTAAAGGCATGAGTGCATATGATAATAGAAGAGCAATTTGTGATCCAAGGTAGTTAACTCCCAACTTTTTAACTGTCTTGGTGAAGTGCTTCTTAAACTTTAAAAAACATGGGAATCACCTGGATCTTGTTTAAATGCATGCCTCTCTGTTTAAATGCAGTAGCTCTAAGGGGTTGGGGTGACAAGATTCTGAATGTCCAAGAAGCTTCCATGTGACACCAAAGTTGCTGGTCTATGGACAACACTCTGGACTGAAACTGGGAAAAATTCTATGAAACTATTATCAGCTTACAAACATAAGTGGGTGCTTTCATTTTCCCCTCTACCACCAAAAGTGCAGGAATACTGATTTGTACTTTCATAAAACTGTCAGCATTCACATTTTCATAATTTAAACACACATATGTGGCCTTGGACAATGGGAAAAATAGAAAAAATAAACACACATATGTTCTTTAACATGAGGACAGGTATGTACACTCATCAAGTGTAGAGAGTGTGGAATGCTAAGTTCAAGCTTGTACTTTGCATCAGTTAGAGAGAGACCAATTTCATAAAGTAAGAAACAAGAAATTAGATGACTAGTTTTGGAATCCAAGGAAGCAAAGAAAATTTCCCCTATTCCTCCTCAGGTAAGACTTCAAAGTGTGGTTTACTTCTTTAAAAATATATTTATACTGCATATTTTTGTTATATTATAAAAGTAATATATACTCATTGTAAAAGATTCAAATTATGCAGAATGTATAAAGTAAAAGGTGAATATTCTTTTTGATTAAAAAATGGGATCTCATAAGAACTATTCTTATGACTTGCTTTTTTCAGCCATAAATACATATATTCACATCTCTCCATACTCATACAGACCTTCCTCATTAATTTAATGATTGCATGACACAGTTATTCCATAGCATGGCTGTATCATAATTTAGTTAACCAATTTTCTATTGTTAAAACATTTAGGTTGCCTTCAATTATTCATTATAATAAATAATGCTACAATGAATCATTCCTATAAAAATACTTGAACATCTGTACAATTATGGCCATAGAATATAGAGTATAATTGCTAGGTCAAAGGATATGCATATTTTTCATATTTATCTTATGAATTCCCAGAATACTTGAAATTATATTGAAAGCAGTAAAATGTAGCTCAAACCAATTTTAAGTTATTTCTGAATAAAGAATGAGATAAGAATATAAATAGGAAACATCTGAATTTGCTGAAAATAATTTTACATACCTCTATATCTCCCAAATGTAAAGGTCCTCCTGAGTCTGAAAAGGAATTGAATATTACATGTAGTCACTAAAAAAATGAAATTTTTATACTTTTATGGTTTAAAATTTTACAAATGAAAAATAAAATCTTACGGTAACAGCGAATATCCATGGCATGATATTCTCCCCTGTGGTAGAAAATGACCACTTCTCTATCATGGACAACAGCTGTCATTCTTTCAGATTTTTTAATGTCATCTTCTCTGCCAACACAGACAGAAGAACCTTCCCTCTCTTCAGGATCTTGTGCAGAGCCATCAAGATTCATGCTAGTTGAACATAAAGAAGGAAAGTTGCAAGAAGTATTCACTAATTTGGTTCCAACTTAATAAAGATAATCTTAAGAGTGAATAGTTTGAACTTTTCAAGATTAATGCAGGCACTTTCTGTAGCTATATAAAACATTTATAAATACTGGGTTATTATTATTTTGAAACAGAGTCTCACTCTGACATCCAGGCTGGGGTGCAGTGGCATGATCTTGGCCCACTGCAACGTCCGCACCCGGGTTCAAGGGATTCTCCTGCCTCAGCCTCCCAAGTAGCTAGGATTACAGGGGCCCACCACCATACCTGGCTAATTTTTATATTTTTAGTAAAGACAGGGTTTTGTTGTATTGGCTAGACTAGTCTCAATCTCCTGACCCCAAGTGATCTGCCCACCTCAGCCTCCCAGTACTGGGATTACAGATGTGAGCCACCACGCCTGGTCATGAATACAGGATTATATTAAACAGGTAGTCATTACTTTGGGTTAGAGACTCTTAAAGACTGCCAAAATTAGGAAGGATTCCTCACTCTGAGGACAGAGTTTTGTTAGATTCATTTCAAGGTCAAGAAGAAAATTTCAGAACTTGTAAAACACAGAGATTTAGATTCCTCTATGCCTTTATTTCCTATCAAATTCAACACTAAACAACATTCAGTTATTATCTGCATTGTTTTCAGCCTTCTGCTGATGGCAGGATTCTCTGTCTGAGCAGTCTTCAGCCCCCTGGCTAAGGTGGTCCACTTGGTTTTGCCTAGAGTACACAGCTGGCTCTTACAGGCACAACCAGCTAGCTATTACAGCAAGAAAGGATGGGTATGAATGAAAACCTTTTGTTTTCTTACCTCAGATAAAAACTGGTCACTGAGATGACAGTTGAGCTGAAATGCCAAAAATGCAAATGAACTAGGCTTGACATCAGCTGGGGGAAGAGAATTTCATACTGAAGGAATAGCAAATACAAAAGCCTGAAGGAAGGAAAAGCCCTCGTTAAAGTGTTCCAGATTGGAACACAATGAGCAAGACTGGTAAACAGGCAGGAGCCAGGTTGTGCAATGTTGTGTATGGATTTTACTCTAAGAGCAGAGGGAAGCCACTAAAGAGTGTAAAGCAGGAAAGTGTGACTTGATTTCTTTTTGGAAGAATGCCCCAGCTCTGTGGACAATGCATTGTAGTAGAACAACAATGGATGCACAAAAATCAGAAAGCTACTGCAGTGGTCCATGAGAAAGATGGTGGCTTGCCACAGGGTGTTGATTCCACAGGGGAGAAAAAGTAATAGTAACAGTAGCAGTAGTAGCTACAATTATATTGTGTTAACTACGTGCCAGGTATTTAATCCCCCATGTTACCAAAAAGGTATTATTATTTTAATTTTACAGTACAGAGAAGGTGGGTTGATGAACTAGAATGAAGATGCTACAGAAAAATAAATAAAGATGACTCCCAGGTTTTAGGTTTGTGCAGCTAGGTGAACTGTAGTGCCAAAGACTGGGAGTATAAAGGCCAAGAAATGACTGGTATTTTTACAGGATGAAAAATCAAGAGCTATATACATTTTGCACATATTGAGTTTAAGGTATCTCAGAGACATCCAAGTAGAGATATCAAGTCAGCAACCAGATATAAGAGACTAGAGTCAAGAATTTCTAGAGAGAAAAGTTTGGGAGTTTTCATGTTATAGAATTCTATGTACTCACTTGGAGAGGAATTGTAGATAAGGAAGAAGGTCTAAGACAATTCCTGAAGCACTTCAACATTTAGAGGTCATATGGAAGAGAGGTTGTAGAGAGGCAAGACCATTAGAGTGTCCAATCTATTCCAAATCAAATGAAATTCATTCACTACTTTCTTCTCTATCCTGTATTCTCCTTGAATTGCAAATAGGTAGTAACCTAGAAAAAAAATGCAGGCAATAAGGTCAGATAAATTCCAATGCTGGTCACCTCTGTGTACTAAACAATAAATAATACATGAAGAAAACTCGAGGTTCCTAGGAAACTGTCCTGAAACTTTGATTGTTCTATAAAGAGCTGGGCCTACCCTATACCCTTTTCTTTGTAAATTCACTTACTCCCTATATATTCACCCTCCTAGAAATCAAATACTGATGAGTATCCAAGTAACAGTTTATATTCAGAATATAACAATTACTACTCTCTTTTCCCTGTATTTCTAAAGTTTGTCTCCTATTCTACTCTTTAATATCCTTTTGGCTAAATACAGAAATTAAAAAGTGGGAAAAAATCAAGGCTAAGATATATCTCAGTATTATTTTTAGGAACAGGCTTAAGGGCTATAGGTTTAATCCTGTCTTTGAATCAAAATAATGACTCAGGCCAGTGGCTCACACCTGAAATCCCAGCACTTTGGGAGGCCAGGGTGGGAAGATCACTTGCCAGGGATTCAAGACCAGCCTAGGCAACATACTGAGACCCAGCTCTACAAAAAAATGTTTTTAATAAATTAGCCAGGCGGAGTGGTAGTTGCCTGTAGTGTTGGCTACTTGGGAGGCTAAGGCAGGAGGATCACTTGAGCCCAGGAGTTTGAGGCTTCAGTGCGCTATGATCACACCACTACACTCCGGCCTGGACAACAGAGTGAGACCCTGTCTCTAAAAATATTATTTTTAAAAAGAAGTTTGCTATGGAAGGCTCAAGATATTAAACGCACACTTGTCCACAAATATTTAACAAAATTACAAATCAGATGTCAACTCCAAATAAATATTCTAACTGTAGGAAGATACTTCATTGTCCATACCCTCTTCAAATATAGTAATATTGTAGTATTTCACAGGAAGTTAAAGAGGATGATAATGTACCTTTCCTTGATCAATAGGAATCTGCATTTTAATTCCACTCAATTTTAGGTTACCATCTTACATAGAAACACATATGTCCAACTTCTTTAAAGAAGGCATTTGGAAGATGGCCGAATGGGAACAGCTCTGGAGGGCAGTTCCCAGCGACAACACCACAGAGGGTGAGTGAACACCACATTTCCAAATGAGTTATTACTGCCCACAGACCAGGAGACTACTAGGCTGAAAAGCGCCATGAGTTTCCAGCATGGCTGTTTCAGCTGGCGCAGGGGGTCTCCACACAAAAACTCACACAAATCTGGGCAGCTGTTTCAACTGGCACCTAGAATGCCTAAGAGACAGAGTCGCCCATTCAACTGTAAAAAAGGGGGCTGAAACAGGGAGCCAGGTGATCTGGCTCGGTGGGTCCCACCCCCACAAAGACCAGCAATCTGAAATGCTCTGGATTAAGAGTTTTGCAGCAAGCACAGCTGGACCCAGGACGGTCTAGCTTTGTTGGGAGAAGGGCATCCGCCACTACCAAGGCAGTCCACCATTACCATGGCAGTCCACCATTACAGAGGCAGTCTGCCATTACTGAAGCAGACTGCTGTTACTGAGGCAGTTCTAACTATACCTCTATAAACAAAATCACAAGAAGTTCACACAGCAGCTGGGCAGAGCCCACGGCAGCTCAGCAATGCCTCTACTGGCAGACTGTGACTAGGCTACCTACTTGCTGGGCAGGGCAGCTCTGAAAAACGGTAGCAGCACATCAGGAAATTATAAATAAAGGTCCACCTTTCCAGGACAGAGCACCTGGGAGAAAAGGCAGTTATGAATTTGCTGCAGCAGACTTAAATGTACCTGCCCAGTAGCACTGAAGAGAACAACAGAACTCCCAGCTCAGCACTTGAGCTCCTATAAGGGACAGACTGTCTCCTCAAGTAGCTCCCTGACCCCCGTATAGCCAGAGTTACCTCATAAAGGAGAGCTCAGGCTGAATCTGGTGGGTATCCTTCTGGGACAACGATAACAGAAGAAGAAACTGGCAGAAACCCTTACTGTTCTGCAGCTGCCCCAGGTGATCCCCAGGCAAGCAGGGTCTGGAGTGGACCTCTAACAGTCCTACAGCAGAGGGGCCTGTTAGGAGGAAAACTAAAAAAACAGAAATAAATAACTTCAACAAAAAGGACATCCACTCAGAGACCTCATCTGAAAGTCACCAACTACAAAGACCACAGGTAGATAAATCTACAGAGATGGGAAGAAACCAGCACAAAAAGGCTGAAAATACCCAAAACCAGAATGCCTCTCCTCCTCTAAGGGATCACAACTCCTCACCAGCAAGGGAACAAAGCTGGATCAGAATGAGTCTAATGAATTGACAGAAACAGGATTCAGAAAGTGGGTAATAACAAACTTCTCTGAGCTAAAAGAACATGTTCTAACCCAATGCAAAGAAACTAAGAAACTTGAAAATACGTTTGACGAAATGCTAACGAGAATAAACAGATTAGAGAAGAAAAAAATGACTTAACGGAGCTGAAAAATACAACACGAGAGCTTCGTGCAGCATACACAAGGTTCAACAGCTAAAGAAGAAAGGATAGCAGAGATTGAAGATCAACTCAAAGAAATAAAATGAGAAGGCAAGATTAGAGAAAAAAGAGTGAAAAGAAATGAAAAAATCCTCCAAGAAATATGGGACTATGCGAAAAGACCTAATCTTCGTTTGATAGGTGTACCTGAATGTGACCGAGAAAGTGAATCCAAGCTGGAAAACACTCTTCAGGATATTATCCAGGAGAACTTCCCCAACATAGCAAGGCATGCCAATTTTGAAGTCTATGAAATACAAAGAACACCATAAAGATATTCTTCAAGAAGAACAACCCCAAGGCACATAATTGTGAGATTCACTAGGGTTGAAATGAAGGAAAAAATGCTAAGGGCAGCCAGAGAGAAAGGTCGGGTTACCCACAAAGGGAAGCCCATCAGAATCACAGCAGAAACCCTACAAGCCAGAAGAGAGTGGGGGCCAATATTCAACATCCTTAAAGAAAACAACTTTCAACCTAGAATTTCACATTCAGCCAAACTAAGCTTCATAAGGGAAGGAGAAATAAAATCCTTTATGAACAAGCAATTGCTGAGAGATTTTGTCATCACCAGGCCTGCCTTACAACAGCTCCTGAAAGAAACACTAACAAAGAAAGTAACAACCAGTACCAGCCACTCCAAAAACATGCCAAATGGTAAAAAGCATCAACACAATGAAGAAACTGTGTCAACTAATGGGCAAAACAACCAGCTAGCATCAAAATGGCAGGATCAAATTCGCACATAACAATATTAACCTTAAATGTAAATGGGCTAAATGCCCCAATCAAAAGACACAGACTGGCAAATTGGATAAAAAGTCAAAAACCGACCGTGTGCTGTATCCAGGAAACCTATCTCATATGCAAGGACACACAAAGGCTCAAAATAAAGGGATGGAGGAAGATTTACCAAACAAATGGAAAGCAAAAAAAAAAAAGCAGGAGTTGCAATCCTAATCTCTGATAAAATAGACTTTAAACCAACAAAGAGACAAAGAAGGGCATTACATAATGGTAAAAGGATCAATGCAACAAGAAGAGCTAATGATCCTCAATATATACACACCCAATACAGGAGCACCCAGATACAGAAAACAAGTTCTTAATGACCTACAAAGAGACTTAGACTCCCACATAATAATATGGGGAATAGTGGGAGACTTTAACACTCCACTGTTAATAGCAGATCAATGAGACAGAAAATTAACAAGAAAAGCCAGGACTTGAACTCAGGTATGGACCAAGCAAACCTAATAGACATATACAGAGCTCTCCACCTCAAATCCACAGAATTTGCATTCTTCTCAGCACCACATCACACCTACTCTAAAATTGATCACATAATTGGAAGTAAATCACTCCTCAACAAATGCAAAAGAATGGAATTCATAACTAACAGTCTCTCAGACCACAGGGCAATCAAATTAGAACTCAGGATTAAGAAACTAACTCAGAACTGCACAACTTCATGGAAACTGAACAACTGGCTATTGAATGTTGACTGGATAAACAATAAAATGAAAGCAGAAATAAAGATGTTCTTTGAAACCAAAGAGAAGGAAGACACAACATACCAGAATCTCTGGGACACATTTAAAGCTGTGTCTAGAGGGAAATATATAGCAATAAATGGCCACATGAGAAGCAAGGAAAGATCTAAAATTGACACTCTATCATCAAAATTGAAAGAGCTAGAGGAGCAAGATAAAAAAAAAAACCTCAAAAGCTAGCAGAAGACAAGAAATAACTAAGATCAGAGCAGAACTGAAGGAGATACAGACAGAAAAAAAACCTTCAAAAAATTAATAAATCCAGGAGCTGGTTTTTTAAAAATATCAACAAAATAGACTGCTAGCCAGATTAATAAAAAAAAAAAAAAAAAAGAGAGAGAAGAAACAAATAGATGCAATAAAAAACAATAAAGGGGATATCACCACTGATTACACAGAAATACAAACTACCATCAGAGATTACTATCAATAGCTCTATGCACACAAACAAGTGAACCTGGAAGAAACAGATAAATTCCTGGACACTTGCACCCTCCCAAGCCTAAACTAGGAAGAAGTCGAAACCCTGAATAGACCAATAACAAGGGCTGAAGTTGAGGCAGCGATTAATAGCCTATCAACCAAAAAAAGCCCAGGTCCAGATGGATTCACAGTCGAATTCTACCAGACATACAAACAGGAGTTGGTACCACTCCTTCTGAAACTATTCTAAACAATCCAAAAAGAGGGAATCCTTCCCAAATCATTTTATGAGACCAACATCATCCTGACACCAAAACTAGGCAGAGACTCAAGAAAAGAAAACTTCAGGCCACTACCCATGGTGAACATAGATACAAAAAATCTTCAATAAAATACTGGCAAACCAATTGCAGCAGCGCATCAAAAAGCTTATCCATCATGATCAAGTAGGCTTCATCCCGGGGATGCAAGGCTGATTCAACATACGCAAGTCTATAAACATAATCCACCACATAAACAGAACCAAACACAAAAACCACATGATTATCGAAATAGATGCAGAGAAGGCCTTCCACAAAATTCAACAGCCCTTTATGCTAAAAGCTCTCAATAAACCAGGTATCGATGGAATGTATCTCAAAATAATAAAAGCTATTTATGACAAACCCACAGCCAATATCATACTGAATGGGCAAAAACTGGAAGAATTCTCTTCGAAATCTGGCACTAGGCAAGGATGTCCTCTCTCACCACTCTTATTCAATATAGTATTGGAAGTTCTAGCCAGAGCTATCAGGCAAGAAAAAGAAATAAAGGGTATTCAATTAGGAAAGGAGGAAGTCAAATTGTCTCTATTTGCAGATGACATGACTGTATATTTAGAAGACCCCATTGTCTCAGCCAAAAATCTCCTGAAACTGATAAGCAACTTCAGGAAAGTCTCAGGATACAAAATCAATGTGCAGAAATCACAAGCATTCCTGTATACCAATAACAGACTTAAAGAGAGCCAAATCAAGAACAAACTGCCATTCACAATTGCTGCAAAGAGAATGAAATACCTAGGAATACAACTGGCAAGGAATGTAAAGGACCTCTTCAAGGTGAACTACAAACCACTGCTCAAGGAAATAAAAGAGGACACAAACAGATGGAAAAACATTCCATGCCCATGGTTAGGAAGAATCAATATCGTGAAAATGGCCATACTGCCCAAAGTAATTTATAGATTCAATGCTATCCCCATCAAGCTACCTATGACCCTCTTCGCAGAACTGAAAAAAAAACATCTTAAACTTCATATGGAACCAAAAGAGAGCCCACACAGCCAAGTCAATTCTAAGCAAAAAGAACAAAGTTGGAAGCATCATGCTACCTGACTTCAAACTATACTACAAGACTACAGTAATCAAAACAGCATGGTACTGGTACCAAAACAGAGATATAGACCAATGGAACAGAACAGAGGCCTCAGAAGGAATGCCACACATCTACAACCATCTGATCTTTGACAAACCTGACAAAAACAAGAAATGGTGAAAGGATTCCCTGTTTAATAAATGGTGTTGGGAAAACTGGCTAGCCATGTGCAGAAAGCAGAAACTGGACCCCTTTCTGACACCTTACACTAAAATTAACTCTAGATGGATTAAAGACTTAAACATAAGGCCTA